CCTGTGGAATGTGAGAAATATTTGCAAATTGCAAATGTGATAAGGGACTTGTATCTTTTGGGACTTGTATAAAGAACTCTTACAACTCAATAATAAAAAGACAACTTAAAAATGGGCAAAATATCTGAACTGATATTTCTCCAAAGAAGATATACAAATGGCCAATAAGTACATTTTAAAATTCTCAATACCGGTCGGGTGCGGTGACTCATTCCTGTAATCCTAGCACTCTAGGAGGCCGAAGCGGGAATATGGATTGAGGTCAGGAGTTTGAGACCAGCCTGAACAAGAGTGAGACCCGTCTTTACTAAAAAATAGTAAAAATTAGCCGGGTGTGGTGGTGTGCGCCTGTAGTCCAGCTACTCAAGAGGCTGAGACAAGAGGATCGCTTTAGCCCAGGAATTTAAGTTTGCTGTGAGCTAGGCTGACGCCACGGCACTCTAACCCAGGGTGACAGAGTGAGACTCTGTCTCAAAAAAAAATAAAATTCTCAATATCATTAATCATCAGGAAAATGCAAATCAAACCACAAGATACCACTTCACACCCAACAGAATGGTTAGAATAAAAAAGACAGATAATAACTAGTGTTGATGAGGATATGGAGAAATTGGGACCCTCGTAACTTACTGCTAGAAATGTAAAATGGGGCAGCCACTTAAGAAAAAGTCTGGAAATTTTTCAAATGGTTAAACAAAGTTACTGTATGATCCAGCAGTTCTACTCCCAGGTGCATACCCGACAGAAATGAAAACATACATCCACATGAAAACCTATGCGCAAATGTCCATACCAGCATTGTATGTAATAGCCAAAAAGTGGAAGCACCCCAAATTGCTGAGAAAGGGGAAAAGCTGACATGTATTGAGTACCTACTATGTGCTAAGTGCTCAACTAGGTTCTTTACAAATCTTTTATCATATTAACAACTCCATAAGGACTGTATTGCAAAGTTTTAAATATTTAGAAAGAAATCCCTATTAAAACATTCCTCCAGAGGTCTGCTTATCTTGATTTGTTCAGTCTGGGCTATGAAACTAATAGTTCGGTACCGTCTAGTTGCTGCCTATGTATTTGCTTATCACTTCATTGAGCGTCTTGTTGAGGATGCCTTGCTTCCCTTCAAAATACTCTGCTAAAGATCTGTCTCCAGCCACTAGGATCCTGCAACTGGTTTCTTTCAGTTGGCTCCACACTAAGGCCCTACTCTGGGTTTAGTATGATTAGTCTTAAGACATTGGAGATTTTTCTTCCAGATTTCATAATGAGGACAACCCAACTTTTTCCTTTTGGGTAGCGTGGCTCAAGCCTTCTTGTCAGTTTCAAATTCTTTTGAAACTGCCTAGTTTGAAATTCTTTTCTGCTAACAGGTATTCTCTGTGACCTTGGAGACATTTTCTAACTTTTCTGAGACTGTTTTATTCAAATATTTATGTAATATCATCTATTATGTGACAGGCATTTGCCGGACCCTAGAGATACAGTAGTGAGTGGTATCCTATAAGGTTTTTTTAATACTCGTAAAGTGGCCACCACCACTGACACATTAGAGGCACTCAGTAAATGGTAGCTATGTCACTTATCATTTGGAAAGAGAACTAACTTTCAGATTTGGATTCCAGCTGAATACAACCAAGCACCGCCCTTTACATAAGAATGTAGATACCATAACACTCTAGAGTAAGGGGCAGTGTGAGGGAGGGAGAGGTGTTTTCAGAAAAAGGAAACTCTAGGTTAGTATGATTGCACAAGGGATCATAACAGACATGGCATTTGACCTAAGGTTATAATACTGCAAAAATAATAAAGTGTCTAAATATAATTTGGTTATTAATATTCATCCAATCACCCAACATTTGTTGAGCACCAACTTTGTGCAAAGCTCTTATGCTTTTCTGTGTGTAACAGCCATCTGGAGGCCCAGTGGGTTTAGAATAATTTTTCCAGGTCACCCAACTGGAAAAGGCTAAAGCTGGAACTAGAACTCAGATCTCCTAATTCACTAGTAAAGGCAGTTCCCTGTATTTTATGTTTCCATACTTCATTCAGATCTTGACTGAAATATCAGCTCAGAGAGTCTTTCCTAATCTTTTTATCTCCTGACATTATAAATGTTGGTTTTGTTTGTTTCATTGTCTATTTCCCAAACTAGAGTGCAAATTTAATGGGGACAAAGATTTAGTCCTTTCTGTTCATAGAATTCTAGAACAGTGCTTGGCACAATAGCTACTAAATGTACAAGTGACCTTCTTACCCCTCCCCATGAAGCCTGAACTGGCAGTGGCTGCACTTCCTTGCAGAATGTGGTCCTGGTACTTCAGCATGGCTCACAGGGCTGGGGCAGCCTGGCCCCAACCTGTCTTTTCAGCTTCGGACATTCACAACCACGAACCTCGGCTCTAGCCACCTAAGACCTTTCTTTACTTCCTGAACAGATGTCTCTGCCTGAAATGCTTGCTGCTTCCTTATTGGCTAGACAAACTCCTCTTCATCTATTAAGAACCAGCTCAAATGTCATAACTTTCCTCTAATTGCAAGCAAAATTAATTGCTCTATTTGTGTTCCCAAAGAAATTGCACATATTTCCATGATAGTATTTACCACATTTCATTCATTCATTCAACAAATACTAGTCGATGCCTACCATGTAGGAGGCACAATATTCTTTTCTTAAGAATGCCTCTCTCGGTCCCTCAGATAAGACATCTCTGAGCAAAGGGAACAAATCTTATTTTTTTATTCCCCAGCTCCCTACCCAGGATGCCTCTGCTTCACAAAGTTATTTGCCCATCAAGATTCAGTGTAAACATGGTCTTCTCTAAGAAAGGCTTCTATTGCTTCTGTGGATCCCTACCAGTCCCTATAGCTTCTAAAATGTTACCCGTAAGTAGTTTTGTGTTAGTTTACATTTGTGTCTCTCACACCAGGGTGTGAGCATCCCAAGGGCAGAGAAACTGTACTTCTGAATTGTACTTCTGAATCTGTAGCTCCCAGCAGAGAGCTGGCACAGAAAGCGTTCAGTGAATGGGCGCTAAGTGGTGATGAATTCGGGGTCTTAGTTCTTCAATTCTCTGCAGAGAAAGATAA